GGCTGGGTTTTGGCTTTCCAAGTCCGGTCAGGCTTTTCAAACAAGAGTCCCGATAGCATGCCAATGTTGCAAAGGGAGAGAGCCAGTCCATCCCGTCACTGGGTCGCAGACACAAACAAACAAATCCCGTTCGATGAGAGCAATCGTTTGTCGCGGGGCCGCGAGCAGCAGCTGGGCCGCGTCGCGTTCCCGGCGAGGACTTGAGAAAGACGAATGTCCCCATCTGGAATCCATCTCTCTCTGGGAGCGCTTGACCGGCACTTAATGCTTTCAAGCGGCCCCTAAAAAATCACCTGCTGGCCCGCTCGGCAACGGCGCTCCCCGGAGGAGCTCCTTTGCATCTTGATTGCTTTTTAATCGCCGAGTGACTTCTGAAGGAGCCTTGGTTCGTGATTTTGTTCTGGTTGTACAAGATCTCGTTGAAAGCTTGTTTGTTTGTTTTGTTTTTTTCCCGCAAGTCACTCCTCGTTCATCTTGCTCTGCTTTGACATCTCCCGGTGATTGGCGCACTGACGGCGACGTCGCGCAAATGCCGCAATTTACGTGGCGCTAGCCAAAGCGCGGGCTAACTTGATATCCATTATAGCAACGAAAATAATCTCCCGATAATTACTGTGGGAACAAAAATCAATCATTCAACCTAAAACAATCGCCTCAACTTCTTTCCGACGAGGTCTTAGCTGCCCAGCAAGGTGCCTGAAGTAAAATGCACAAAAGCGAGGTACAATAGCTTTCTGGTTTTTGGTGTCCAAACCTTCCTTCCGAGTCGTAATTTGTTGAGGGGGAATCGAAAGAGCCCCTCCGCTTGGAGTCGGGTTTTGAATCAGTGCTTCAAGTTCAAGATTAGGATTTAAAAGTTCCAATTCGCAAGCCTCGGTAAGGATTTGCGATGGGCTTCCAAGACGGCGTGAGGCTTTCAAACGTGGGTTTCAATTCAAGTTCTGTGATAAAAAATGAGAGCTAACAATTGGGGGGTTCAAGACTTTTCAAGACTGTGTTCGGGTTTTCACAAATTAGAGCTTTCAAATTCCGATTCCAACCAGGCTGTTTCAAAGGCGTGTGAAAAACATGGCAAAAGATGAGACAAGACTGTGGGTTGTTTGGCTTTGCGGTTGTTTCATAATCTGAACTGAAGTCTGGTAGTTAATAATGTCAACGTCGATTCTTGGGGGGAAGTTTCTTCACCTAACGTTCATTATTTGGGGCCTCGAGCTGAAAAAGTTTGCTCAAAGATGAGCTCATATCGATCATTTTGATCGATATGAGCTCTTGGTCACATCGCTCGGCCGGCCGTCCTTTTGTGATACGATCCATTTACGGGTGGCGTCATTGGAGCGGCCGTCCCATTTATCAGGCCGCAAGGCTGCGCAGCCTAAAATGGGTTGATGAACCCTCGCTGTCGTGCGTGAGCGGCGCTTTGTGTTGTTGCCCGGCGTTTTCTTCTCCTGCGCGACGGAAAGTCGTCAAAGTGTCAGCGGTTGTTTAATTGACGCAAAGACACAAAAGATGATTTTCTCAGTGCACTGAGAGAATTGATTGGTGCTCGGAGAACACTCGACATAGCCACCAAATTTCATATTCCAAAGTCAAGCTTGCTTCGAGGGGCTGAAATTTTTTATTTTATTTTATTTTTTTATGTCACAGGGGCCCTTTTGGGTGAATTTGGACCAGGACATCTGGAAATGACTCACATGACCATAAAAAAGGATGCTTGAACCCAAAATGGGGCATTTGCTGTGTCTTTTCAGGCACTGCTTCTTGAGACTTTTTTTGTGGGTCTACGCATGATAGGCATGCCTACCAAAAAGTCTGTTGGGGAACTGATTTATTTATTTTTTTCATTCTTGTCAATTCTAAAGAGCTCGCAAGACCAAATCACGACTTTTAACCCAGGTGGCAGACTCCCCCTCTGTCTTTTCAGGCATGGCTCGCTCCGGGGGCCGCATTTTGAAAAACCCTCGGGGGCGCCGTGCCTCCCGTTCTTGCGTCTCCCTCGGCGCGGGCCCTCGGTGAGCTCTAGGCCCTCGATGGCAAAGACTTTGCCCCGCATAAAGAGTCTCTTTCTTCCTCCTGCGGCGACGGTCCGCCGTCCGGCCGGCCTCCTTGCGGGTTTGCCGAGGATAAATAAACCTCTTCACGCGCAGAAGAGACGGCGTTTGCGAGCGCACGCCGGCCCCGGCTCAATGAGAGGGCCTATATTATTGTCAAGGGCTATTTGTTATCGGACCGAGAGGCGGGGCGGGCGGGCGGGACCGCGCCGGCCTCTTGATTTATACACTGACCGGCTTATAGACACACACACACACGCTTGTTGAAAAAGCGTTGTTCAAACAGGAGCCGATAGCGACGGGGAAAGTCCAGCTTTTCATCCGTCTTATCGCCCATCTGTGACCGCGCCTTTGCCGCAGTCAGATATTTACCTGAAATTCATCTGGCGTGACGTTTGAAAAAGGTTGCGAGATGGTGACGCTCGCTTTCAACGTAAGTCCAAGTGGATGTCAGGCGTTAAACTTGGCGAGCGCAGGCCCGACATTTCGGAATCTCCGTCCTTGCGGCCACTTCTGCGCTACGTCTGAAGTTGGCAAAATGTGCACTTTGGCTTCAAAGCCGCCTTTGCCGCTCAGTATGGAAAGCGGTTCGGTACACCCGCTCAAATCCGAACTCTTGTCGCGGGGATTGCTGCCACCCACAGGACTGGAGTGGAATGGCCTCAACTGCCGCGTCAGGATTTTTGTTTTAAAATAAAGAAATCGAAAATTTCGGAATGTTTGGCCTTGGGGGAGGTCACCTACAGGAGCGCAGTGTTTTATTTTATTATTGTTTTTTTTTTTTACTTAGGAGGAGTTTGACGGTTTAAGGTGGTTGGGCCTTAGCGAAGGTTTGCTTAAGTTGAATGTTCTTCTCCTTTAAGGCACAAAACCACTTTCATGAAGGAAGATGAATTTTTAGCTAACATGTCTATCATGACTAGACCCACAAAATAATCTCAAGTTGTACACATCTTCGAGTCGACCCACAGGGGTCCTTTAAAGACAAAATCCTCCAAGAGTTTTTCCTATAACTACCAAATTTGAACCAGGTGTGCTAAAAAGGTGGACAACGCTAAATGTAGAGAGAATGAATTTTTGTCATTGCGCGTGTGGCTGTTTGACACAAAACATTTGCTGTCAATGAACAGAATGGACAAAAATCTCTTCCTGCTGGCTTTTCGTTTCAACCCAAAATGAGCTGAAATCGTTGCTAATATCGTTGAGTGTCAAGGCCCTGCAACGATTACAGCAAGTCCGTAACATGACCGCCCCCCCCCTCCTTCCCCCCGCCCCTGCCCTCCGTGTTGAAGACATTTTAAGACATATGTTCTCATTTGCCTTTGCGGAGGTCAGCGCAAATACGCCAGTCAGTGAGCCATTCATTCATTCGGCTGCCGCTCGCAACACCGGCGCCTCCGTGTTTTCCTTTTTCCTCAATGGGCCTTTTTGTTTGGGATTTGAAAGGAGAAGAAAAAAAAAAAGGAAAAGTTGTTTGTTGCACCAGAAGTCTCGGAGAAAGCGAGGCCACATCAGACGACACACCGAGTGACTTTGCTGAATTTTGACGTCTCCGGCGCCTCTCTAGTCGTCATTTGTTGTCATCTTTTCATTGCAAAGCGTGGCTGGGTTGTCCTTGACAGTCCACAACAAACTATTTGTGATGATACAGAAGCTAATTTGCTTTACTACCGCAGCCGTCTAGGCGGGATTTCTTGTAGGTATGTGCGGGTGTACGCTGAAGACTACGTCCCCACGGGAAGCAGCCCAGTCATGTCATTTCCGAGCCGCTCGCTTGACTAACGTTCGACCACAGCCCGTCGAGGCATCGGTACCCGTTGTCGTTGTTTTCATTCAAAAGTGGCGGCACCTGTTGGAGCGCATGTCAACACTTGAAAGCAGCCAGGTACAGATTTGAAGTACTAACTTTGCCCAAGTGAAACATCTCCCCTGCGTCCCGCGTCTGTCAACATGTGAAAGCGGTCCAGCCAATGAAAACAAGTTTTGATGAATTTGATTACATCTCTACCGAAGCCTGTCGAGGTGTCGTTCTTTGCTGTGATTATCTTTGTTCCAAAGTCTGATTGCGTGTGGCCCTATAAGAGCAAGTCAGCACCCGAATGCAGACCAGCCAATAAAAAAACATCTGCTTCCAAAATGTACAGATGTCGACCGCAACCCGTTTGTGCATTCCCATTTGCTCAATTCGGCCCAACAAAGCTTCATGATTTGCGTATCAACCTGTAAAAGCCGTCCATTGAATGAAATCACATCGACATTTAAATTCAGAGGATTGACACAAACTTGATATTTCTTCTGCAGCCCATCTAGGCAGAAGAACAACTGAGTCCAAATGAATCAACTCTGTGAGCTTTCTCGTCTGTTTTGAACTTGCCGTTTCGTGCGCGTCAGCCTGCTCCAAGAGCGCCTCCACCTTTTCTCGTCGGGTCACCGGTGGGTGTGTCAGGCCGTCATCTATCACACGCCTCCTTCGCCCTTTCCCAGGGTTCTGATGTGTGTGTGTGCAAACACTCGTGGCATTGTCGCTCTCAAGCTGACGTGTGTGTGTGTGTGTGTGTGTGTGTGTGTGTGTGTGTGTGTGTGTGTGTGTGTGTGTGGGAAGGGAGGGGACGTAAACGGGGGTCACAGCATTCCCTTGAATGGTTATCACGGAAACGGCGTGGAAGCGAGAGGGAGAGGCCTGATTTAAAGGGTCGCCGTGGCGTGTTGATTTTTCTCCGGCTCTCTCTGCTTACCTCATGCAAACATTGAGCAAGACTCCCGTTGAATGGCACGTTTGCCTTTTCCGAATTTTGGAGTGTTTTCCTCCAGCCGTTTTGTGGTATGAGTCCAGAAATGTGGGAACCGTCTTTTGGTGACTTGAATGCACCCGTGTGATTCCTCTCAGCCAATCAGAAAGAAAAAAAAAAAAAAGATCAATGTGTATTATTGACATCAAGATGTGTAAAACGCCGATGTTGATTGTTGTTCTTGGGCGCAGACGCTGTGTCCAGCGAGTCGGCCTTCCTGGAGGACTTCGTCCTGGGCGTCGGGGACACCCTGGAGATGGCATGCGACCCCGAGGAGGACTCGGCCCGGCCCGCCGTTTGGTACAAGGACGGCGGGGTGCTCTCGCCTAGCGAGCGCACGCGGCCCGGACCGAGGATGCTGCGCATCGTCAACGTGTCGTACGAGGACTCGGGCGTGTACGCCTGCCGACTGGCCCGCAATAACAAGCTGCTCAGCAACTACACCATCAGGGTGACAGGTATGGACTACTTTCTACCCCCACCCGACAAACCAGTTTGGAGGATTTTGGTTATCTTGTGCTTTTTGTGCTAAATTATGCCACCAGGGTGGCGGGTGACGGATTTCTCCCGCTACCTGTCGAGGCAGCAAAACGGTCTCTCCAAAAGTCCACGGTAGAGCTTCCTTGCCATGGCCATACTTATGGCGCTATGCTAAGCCAAAGACCAGCCTGAGTCGTACTGCTACCCATCTAGGCAGCACCAGAATAGGAAACGCTGTCATGTACAGCAAGTTAAGTTTAACTCGATGCTTTTAAAGGAAAATTGACTCATCATTTGCAATAAGAGGGTGACAGGTTACTGACTTCGACGGCAACCCATCTCATCAGCTAACAGTCGCTGCAAAATAAATTCTACATTGAACAAATGACGTTAAACCCAAATTAAGCGGGAGGCAGAATTTAAAAAAAAAGCTCTAAACTCAAAGGAAAGGAAAAAAAAAGAAATTTGCGAAAGCGCAGGACCATGAAGCCGGCGCACGCGACGGAGGAGTCGTTCCTGTCCTGTCATTCTTTTCATGGAGCGAATTGGTAGCAGTCGCCGACATTGTTGCTAGCTTTCTCCAGGCGTCCCATGAGCTCACCTGCCACTGTCACCAGCTGCTTTATGGGCGCCAGCTGTTGTTGCGGAGCGCTCTACTTATGCCTTTTCAGGTGGACAAAGATTTTGGGGGGGGGGGGGGGGGGCCCCATATATCTACAGTACAGTGTCAAAAAAAACAACACGTTAGGTCTTCTTCTCCAAATCGTGAAAGTAAAACTCCGGACTCAAGGGGCACTTGACGAGGGACCTTCTTTCATCTTTACTTGACGCTTGCCTTCGGATTTCTTGGGGGGGGGACCGAAAAGAGAAGGTGAAGGGGCGTGTGTGTGTGTGTGTGTGTGTGTGTGTGTGTGTGTGCGTGCGTGCGTGCGCGCGTGCGTGTGGGGTTGGAGATGACATGCCGGGCAACTTTTGCACACCAGCTGAGGCACTTATTGATTCATTAGAAAGCAATTAGCTGGAAACATTTCATCATTGCCAACAGATGGCGTGGCAAGAAATGAGAGAAGCGCACACTGGCATCAAGCCGGGAAAGAAATGGCCCTTTTTTTTTTTTTTTTTTGCGTCAGACGTGGATGACTTCTACTTTTGTATCAACAAATCAAGTTAGCAGTTGTACTGAAGCTCTGGGATGAGGCCGCTTTTATACGATCTTTGAATTTAGTGGCAATGTTTGTCTTCAAGGATCCCTGGAAAGGGTCGAAATGAGCCCAAAATGTCAAACCAAATGGCCGCCTTCCTGTGTCTTTTTGTGCATTGCTTGGTGAGACTTTTTGGTGGGTTCACTCATGAAAGAGATGTCGACCAAATTTCTTGTTGCTCAGTCAAACTGGTGTTTTGAGGCGGATTTTTCCCAAAATGTCAAACAAAGGCCACAAAATTTCCACTTTAAACAAAAATGAAAGACGTTTGTGTCGTTTAAAGCATGGCTTCTTGAGACTATTTTGTGGGTCTACGCATGGCAGACGTGCCTACAAAATCCCAAGTTTTGGGGGCAATTTATTTATTTTTTTTTTAATTCTACAGGACGCTCCCGAGCCAACATTGCTGCTTTAAACCAAAATGGCCTCCTTCCTGTGCTTTTTGGGGCGTCACTTCTGGAGGAGACTTTTTTTTTTTTTTATGGATCTCTTCATGATTGACATGTGAACCAAACCAAATTTCACATTGCTTCAGTGAAAGTGGCTTTGGGGGCAGAATTTTCAAAAAGTGTTTTTTGAGAGTAGAATCAAAAAGAACCGAAGCGAGGTGGTGACTGTCTATTTTCATCTTTTGGGAGTCGTTTTCGCACTCACTCGTCCGCCTTTCAGCGGCAAGTCAAGTGGGACTTTGTACAGCGTGTGCAGGCCGTTTCCTGTCCCCACCCCGTGTACGCACGCGGTTCTCCAAACAGTTCGTAGAACACACACACAACGTACTGTTGTGTTTTGCCTCAAATTTTTGAGCAAGGTGTCAGATATGCGGCGTCCGTGTAATCGGCTTTAGCGCCTGGACGGCGCCCGGATGGCGCTAAGTGGACGCCTCGCACGGTCCACCAACGGCCCCGCGGGAGGCCCGTGGCGGTCAACAAAATTACGACGGGGGGGTGGATGATATGACGCTAGCCAGTTATCTTTATGTGTGGCAGTCACTGTCCGCACATTGTTTGCCGGCGTTGATAAGACCGATGAAATGTATTCAAATGAACAAGGGTGACGTTTGACGTTTTCGGCAACTTTGCCTGATGGGTAGCTGAATTTAAAAATTTTAAATTAAAATTACAATTTTAATTTTAATTAAAATTTCATAAATTTAAATTTCCTACATTGAAATTTCCTAAATGTAATTTAAATTTATGTTTAAATTTTTAATTTACAATTTTTAATTAATTTAAATTTTATTTTAATTTGTTTTTAATTAAAAATTTTAAATTTTAATCAACTCATTTCTTGTTTGTTTGTTTTTAGATTCTCTGTCATCCGGTGATGATGAAGATTATGATGAAGATCCCGAAGATGCAGGTAATGGCAATGGTGAATTCTTATTTTCTCTCTCTCTCTGTTTTGATGTTTGAATTTTGTTTGTTATCATTTTTGGAGTGCTTCAAATATACGTAGTTACGTATTTTGAGTGAATCCCGTTTGTAATTGAAGTGAATCCTTCAGTGTTGCATCATCGTTTTTAGTCAATGGTCTTCATCGTCACTGATAACGTTGAACGTTATCGCGTTGGAGCGAATAATATTGAATCAAACCCAGGCGTACAACCGTTCATCAATTATCACACCAATCAATTTTTTGAGAGACGCTGAATCATTTAAACACGTTTTTTTCATTTTAAATGCTCCAAATATTCGCTTGTCAACAGGAAATGTTGCACATTTTCTACACTGTCCATTCTGAAATAATGATTGAATAAAAGAATGGAAATCTAAACATGTTTTTTTTTTTTTTTTAATGCAATCCGTCGATTAATCGACAAAATAATTGTGTGATGAATTGATGATCAAAATAATCGTTCGTCGCAGCCCTTACCGGACAACATATCAAATTGGGATTGAATTGAATCGTACTGTGTCACATTCTAATTGCTATCGCAACGCCATAAGAGTGCACCGGGACTCGCCTTCTACGCACTGGGAGCGTTGGCAGCGAATGACTTGGTATCGTACGGGCAAGCGCCGTGTTCTCCGAGCGCAACGGCGCCATCTCGATTGTACGGACGGAATGCGGCGTCCTCCATGTGACAAAACAGCCTTAATCTTAGCCGGTAAATCCACCTCATGACACGGCGGGTCCCGGGCCAGCAGTGCGGGGATTAGCCCAGAAAAGCGCTAACTTCATGTGCGCTAAGCCAGCGCTAATTGCTCCTACAAGAAGGAGACCCAAACATGTGACTCGAAACCAAAAGACGGGAAATATTTGCCCCCAGAGTCAGACGAACGGCACAGGAAAGACAAAGCGAAAAATGCCTCGCAGCACGAACAAAAGACAGACGGCGGCCCGCTGGCGCGCTAACCGGATCCGTCCCGATATTTGCTCGATTGATGATGAGAATATCGTTGATTCGGTCATCGCAATGTTGCTTGAGAGAGGATTGACTTGTCTGGTTTCTTTAGCTTTTTTTTGGACTGGATGTCAATTTTAATATCTCGGATCGTTGTGGAAAAGCCCAACTGGGGACTGCAGCGGAGAATTAGCATATGCATTCACGGCGACGCGCATCGCATCAGCTGCACGCTTGGATCCATGTTGGACTGTCAGATGAAGATTTATGGATTATTTACTCAAGAATGATCAGGGTGGAAAAATGCCGCGAATGGACACTGTGCGCTGCGACTAAACGCCGACCTTTAGCACATTAAACGCAAACGCACTTTGAGGCGGAATGTTGGCGTCAACCGGGTGACACAAAATCGCACCAAGCTGATGTCCGTCATGAAGCTGTCGGCCGGGGCAAAATATTTGCCTTTTGGAATGTGGCATGAAGCCGCAGTGTGTGTGTGTGTGTGTGTGTGTGTGTGTGTGTGTGTGTGTGCGTGTGTGTGTGTGTGTGTGTGTGTGTGTGTGTGTGTGTGTGTGTGTAGGAATGTGAAGAGAGGCTAATCTGTGGCGTGTCCCCGTCTCTTGTTTACGCTGGCAGCCAAGCAGAGAGCCAGCCGCTCGCCAGCCCATGCTACGCTACGCTACGCTAACCCGCCTGCCGGCCGCCATTCTTCTACGGCACACCTTCAAAGGGCGAAATCGCCACTCCGCTCGGCCGCGGCGCACGTGTGCGTAGCGGGCGTCGGCGAGGGCAAATTACACAATTAGGCAATTACCCTCCGCCGCACCCCCCTTTGGCCACGCGGCCTCCTGATCAGTGAACCGCCGCCTGGCGTGTCGACTTGCACGCTTCTCACTAATTGCTGTTTGCTTTCATCATTCGGGCAAGTTTCTGTTTGCTCTCCACAACAACAATAACAACGACAACAGTGCGTGACCAGAGGCACCCGCTGCAGTATCCCCACGGGGGGCGGCACACCCCCATCGCACACATGCCACCCTCCTAACAATCAAAGTTAAACTTTCCTAAACTGTATTAGTCACACGTCGACTCGAATATCCCAACAGAGTTGGCGCACCTCCTCATCCCTCGACCCATTCTGCCGAACAGTGTCAACATTTGCCAAACTTGTTTCAAGCCACTCCCTTCAAAAACCTGACACAGTTGGCGCACCTGCAAAAACTTTTCCATTTGGGGCACCCCCCTATGCCTCATATCCACCCTTCAAAAAAGCAATACACCTCCTTCCAACACAGCGTTGGTATCCCGGCATACTTCGTCAAACTATAAAGTCATAATTCCCAAACTTCTTCAGTCATGCGCCCACTTTAACCTTCCAGAAGAGTTGGCGCACCCCTTCTCCCCCATACATAACCTCCCCCAAAATCTGTCCTAATTTGCCATATTCTGACATACACCCCTAAAAATCTAGTTCGTCCCATTTTGCCAGGCTTTCTCAACCATGCACCCACTTTGAACATCCTCAGAGACGTGGCGCACCCCCTCTCCCCTGCACACACCCTACAAATATAACCTCATCATTTCCCACATTTTTTTAAGCCACGCTGCCCCGACGACAGAGTGACGCACCCCCTCTCACCTGCAATATGCCCCAAAACTTTTGACGCCAGGCATTCAATATCCGGACAGAGGAGGTGCACCGATTGTCAAAGCTTCGTCACACCCCCCCTCCACATCTCCACGGCGTTCGTGCGCGCACCCGCTCCATAGCCAGATGAGCAGCCGATATTTGAATGTCACTCTGTCCTGCGCCGCATCCGCTCAAGCGCGCACAGAAACTTCATCCCGTGTCTAATTGGCGGGATGGTATTTCCTCAGCGCGGGGGCGGCGTTCTGCACACCCCGCTGGGGTGGGGGGGGACGCCGATAACCCCGCGGCGGTATGCGTTGCGGCTCCTCGTCACGTCCACCTGTTAGCGGGTGCGGGCCCGGTTAACTAACCCAGGAGGAAATCCCAGCGGCCATCTAAAAATATCCCCCCGGTGCATGAAAAGCGCGCTGAGAACACAGGAAGTTCATGAAGTTGTTTTGGTCGTTGCGACTCGTGTCACTTCCAAACACGCCCGCGTGGCTTTTCTCTGGGTACTGCGGTTTCCTCCCACATTCCACAAACATGCGCGGCAGGCTGTTTGAACACTCGACATTGTCCCGAGGGGTGAGCGTGAGTGCGGATGGTTGTTCGTTTCTGTGTGCCCTGCGATGGGCTGGCAACCGGTTCAGGGTGTCCCCCGCCGACTGCCCGAAGACGGCTCCGGCCCCCCCCCCCCCCCCGCGACCCTTGATCTTCACCGCTTTGCTTTTTGTTTTTCGTCTCTGATTTACGTCCTCTTCATCTCCGCGTGATCTTTCGTCTCCGAGGACCGCCGCCTTCTTCTCTCTTCCCGTTTGCTGGCTGTCGGACGGGAGCGCCTCAACCCGGTTTCAAGTTCCAAGCGCTCATACTTAGCGTCAAGGAAAACGTTTCATGTTCTGCGAATAGAATCGCGGCAGAGGCGAGAACGCTGGAAGAGTAGCAACAAGTAAGCTCGCTGTGTTTTTTGGTGGGGGGGTGCAGGGTGGGGGGCCGGGGGTGGGGGGGCTGTAAGAGTCTGTAACAGAGGCCGGATTGTGCAGTTTTGGGTAAAAACACGATGATGGCTGACAGCGGAGTTTTGCATGCAGAAGCCGCGGAGGAGCAGGACCACACATCGAGAGGCCATAAAAAGTGCGCCCGGGTGTGCGCGCGCGCGCATGCGGTCGACGGCGACGCCAAGAAAGCAGAGCGCGGCGTCGGCGTCTCCTCGCCGCCTCGGCCGACGCGAGGAGGAAATAATCAAATCCAGCAGCTAATTCCCTTTTAAGGTGCAACCCGAGCGTTGCTTTTCGCCGGCTGGGGAAGAGCGACGACCCGTCGGGCACGCGCGCGGCTGCATCCTCGCCAGTCTGTGTACGCCACCCAAAGAAAATCAGTAACAAAAATGGACGTTTCGGAGGAAGGACAGAAGACTGTTTTCCTTGAAAATTTACAACCATTCCAATTGTTTTCCTTTGAAAAAAATTGGACTTTCATCTCCTAATATTCTCATCATATTTCATTCCCGGAAGAAATAATATTTTATTCGCTCAATGAGGGAGATTTTAATCTTGATATTCCAACTTTTTTCTTGTTTATCTTCCCCAACCCCCACACCCAAAAAAAAAGAAAACTCATGATACTAGGACTTAAAAAAAAAAAAACAATTTAAGAAAAGAAAATGTGACTTGACTTCTCTTCTAGGATTTTTTTTTCTCAATATATTTGGACTATTTTCTTTGAAAAAAAAAAAAACCTCCAAAAACGTGAACTTCTTAAAATTATAATTTTAATCCCTCATGACTTAATTTTTAAATACAATCCTGCTCTCTATTGTCTGCCTTTTTTGTAAGTTCAAGTTTTGGATTTTTTTTTTTTCTATCAATAGTTTCTAAAAGAAAAAAAAAGGACACATTTCAGATATTTTCTTTTTGAAAGGGGAAAAAAAGAACTTTCATTTTGTAAGATGACAACTTTTTTCATATATTTTAATGGACTTAAAGGCACGTTCAAACCGTCAGGCTGAGAAAGACACGTGTGGTGGCCTGCACCTTTTCGCGCTGACGGCTGCGTCCGGCAGACCCGATAAAGAAAGAGAAGAAAGTCGCCCACGGTCTGCTGCTGGACGCTCAAGATTCTTTCAAAGACACACACACACACACACACACACACACACACACACACACACACACACACACACACACACACACACACACATTGAGATGCTAATGAGCTCCTCTCAGTCCTTCTGCTGCTTGTACAAAAGTAAAAGAGACATCTGATGAGCGGTCAACCACCTCCTTGGCTTTTGTTGCGTTAAGCTCTGAGCCACACACACACGCACTCGCATTCTGGAGATGGGGGGGTGGGCGGGGCTCACTGTCACGATGGCGCGCTGGTGTGTGAGAACAAGTCAATAAATCACCTTGGCAGCCTAGTGAATGGCAGGAGAGTGCGACGCTGGAAAACAAAAGCGTTGCGGCCATCCGACGTCTTCGGCGAGCGTTTGGCACCGTCAAAGTGCGTTTAACAGAGAAGCTGCGTTTTTTTTTTTTTTTTTTTAAATTTGGGGGAATCCTCGCCCCCCCTCCTCATCCTCATCTGAGCTCTTGGGGTCCTTGTCTGTGTGTTCTGTGCGTGTTTGCCTCATAAAAAGTGACATGAAGACGTTCCATTTGAATGGAATGGATGACTGGGCCGCATGTTAGCATCTGGAGTTGCTGTATTTTTTTTTTTGTTTTTAACTATACCTCACATGTCTTCTGACGTACATGTGAAGCGAGTATGAAAAGTCTACACACCCTTGTTCAAATGCCAGCTTTTGTGATGTAGAAAAAAAAAAAAACAGACCATGTCGAAACTTTTCCCACCATCATGTGTAACATCTAATTAAAGAGGAGTCAGCACACAAGTGCCTCTGATTAGCTCCAAATAAACTGCAGATGGTGAAGTCGGCTTTTCCTGATTTTTTTTTTTTTTTTTTTTAACTTTTTTTTTTCACTGTTCAGATAAATTATTGGTGGAAAAGTTTTGGGAATTCTAATAATATATATGATATACAGTATGTATGACATATGATATATATAAAATGTAATTTAAAAACAAACACACATTTTCTGTATTCCAACAACGACGACAGATTATTTTTTTAAATTTTTAAATACAATTTGATCTTTTCATGTTTACGGATATTCTCCCCAAAAAAAACTTCAAAATACAATTTTAATGTACTCCAAGACTTTATCTTTTAAAAAAAATAAACGTCTTTCTAGTCGTGTCTTTTTTCCAATGAAAAAAATTAATGTAGAGTCTAGAATCAAAACTTTAATATTGTAAGTCAATGTTTTTTCAAGTCAATATCACATTCCAGCACCAGTTTGTTATATTCCAAACTCCCCCCAAATGTTGTCCTTAAAATCGGAGAAAGGTTTGACAATGTTGCGCTGTGTTTTTGCGCGCAGAAGCTCCGTACTGGACCAGACCGGAGCGGATGGACAAGAAGCTCCTGGCGGTGCCTGCCGCCAACACGGTCAAGTTCCGCTGCGCGGCGTCGGGCAACCCCACGCCCACCATCCACTGGCTCAAGAACGGCAAAGACTTTAAGGGAGAGCAGCGCATGGGCGGCATCAAGGTCAGCCCGGCAACACTCGCTTTGTTTTGCGTGGGTCACATCATCCACCTGATATCTACGCTTCCGATTGGGCTTGCTTTACGCAATCTTCCAAGCCATCAACGGGCGTTCCGCACATTTTCTCTTACGACGCCAGACAGTGACCGGAAGACCTCAGACCGGCAAAAAGCAGGACAAAGTTGTGGCGCGGAGGGTGAATTTGATTGAAGCGCAGGCAGGGAGATTCTGTGCTCCGTTGTTATGTGTGGTGGATGTCATCGGATTTCATTTTTAAATATGAGCCGAGCGCGCGTCGAATCCTCTTGAGTCATTGTAGAAATGATTCCACAAGTGGAGGTCTGCATGTTCCGCGTGGACTCCAGCGAGTCTATTTCTGCTTCGGCAATGGCATCGACCGTGCGCACGTGCGCCTCCTCTGAACTCAATTTAAAGGTAATAAGTGGAGCTGCTTTCATTGGATAGAAAGTAAGTCGGTCGTGTTCACTCCCACAATGCCGCAAACGTCGGAAAAAATATTTGTGCTTTATTATTGTCGGCCGAGAAAACTGTCACCTGGTTTATTGTTTCTCTCTCATTTCATGTGATTATGCGACTGAAAAAAATGTTTACTTTAATCGGACATCTTGTCCAAAAAAATACGACCATAATCGATAACACCGTGACATTTTTTTTGTCAGAAAAAAATGATGATGAATCTCGTCGGAATCGTAATCTGTTGCATCGAAAATAACTTCAATGTGGGGAGATCAATAAAATGTGCTCAGTGAGCAAAGGCACCTGAAACCGAGTTGAATAGAAATCGTGAATAAATGCCATTGTTGCAAACATTTTTCCTGTTCCTCAGTCTGGGTTGCCTGCTGATCGCCTGCCTGTAGTCCAAGCGATGCTCGGGAGCCTTTTAGCCCAGCAGCATTTTAATCCCCGTTTACGCAGCCCGCTGCGTTCCGCTGCGCCCCGCTCTCCACGTGGGAGTGTCTAAAAGCGGAGAAAGTGATCCCGCTCGTCTTCTCGTGGCAAATAAAGGTCAGGATCGCCCCGCCGGGCCGCACGTCCTCCGTAGAATTCCGGACCCGCCCCCTCCGCCTCGGACTCCCTCGGTGGGGACCACCAAAATAAATAATGCCGCGTTGAAACCGGAGTGCTGCTGGAATACTTGAACGCTGGCCCGATAGCGCGGCGTTGACAGCGAGGCGGCAGCGCCGCAAGCAGCTGCTCGCCTCGCTTTTGTCATCGTTCCTGCGAGCGGGCACGCGGGGCGAACGCCACAAATGTGACTTTTCGGTTTAAAGCGACACCATTTTGACACGCGCGAGACAAATAGAAAATAAGCCGAAATGTTCAACGAGAATGGCAGATGTCTCGTGTCCTTTCAGGCATGTCTTCTTAAGACTTTTTTGTGGGTCAACTCGTGATACACGTGCCTTCCAAATTTCATGTTGTTACGGCCAACCGGATTTGGGGCCTGATTTGAGTCGTTCACTTGTTCAGTGTGCTCGTGAGGCAAAATGGCCACTTCAAACCAAAATGACACCATTTTCTTCTTGGACTTGGCTTGAGACTTTGGGAGGATGGATATTTTCATGTTGCTCACGCAAACTGGATTTGGGGTCGGAATTTTGTTTCGGAGACTGAAGGACCTTGAAAACGAGACTAAAATGACAGCTTCAAACCAAAATGAGCAACTTGCTGCATATTTTTGGCGATGGCTTATGGAGAATTTTTGTGGGTCTGGTCCCGATAGACTTGTCTTTCAACATTGATGTCAAACTGGCTTCATTTTCACCAAAACGCGATTAGAATAATTTGAAGGGCCCAAATGAGCCTGAAATGGCCGCTCCAAAGCAAAATAGCACACTTGTTTTGTCTTTTCAAGCTTGGCTTCTTGAGACTTTTTTTGTGGCTATATTCACCATGGTCATGTCTACCGAATTTCATGTTGCTGTGTCAAATTGGAGTTTTTGCAATGTGATTAGTGTGGCTGAAGCGGTGGGAAAAGTGTTGGCGTTGTCCTTTCAAGAGTTAACGTAAGGAGATCCCGTCGCTATTAACAGTTTACGGAGATCTCCAACATCTGCTCCCAGCGGGCCGCCAGCAGTTGTCCCCCCCACCCCCCTCGAAACCCCCTCCCATCCTCCCACCGGCACCTGTCGCCAGCCCTCCAGCCACCGCCACTACCGCCGAGCTAAAAAGTTTGCATCCCGGCGTTAGCGGCATGCTAATCCCGTGGTGAGCTCTTGGATTTCATCGCTCGCCCGACGGCCTGCGGGAACTGAAAGTTGTTTTTCCAACGGAGCCATCGCCGCCTGGCCGAGGAATCGTCACCTAGAGTCTTAACTGAGTTTATCCTTTAGCTAATGGTGGTTCGTTTGCAAGAGCTTTGGGTTAGCACAAAACACCAGCCCCATTCCCCCTCTGTTACCGCTCTGATAGTAGCTGTATTGTGAAAATTTGGGGTTGGTACCTTTTACGCTGACGGGTGACATGAGAAAATGACCCTTTTGGGGCAACACAGCAATCGTCGTGCCTCTGTTATGATCTCTGACGCTGCTAATTTTGCATCTGGACTTGAGCACCCGTTGACTTCAAATCTCATTCTGAGGCCTTTCACACAGAACAACAACTTTTGACAGGCTGCGTGAAAGGGGCAACACAGCTTCTGATACTTGCTTGCAAGCCAGGAATTTCACCGGTTAACTTCAACCCCCATACTGTCGTTTCACACAAATCAGCAAATAGGCGACTAGGAAGAAAAATCTCGAAACATCAGGTAATGTCTGGCTGTGGCTGCTATGCCACCTCTGGTACGAGCCCCAAAAATTGCGTGTCCTTTCACAATCAATGTGAAAAATATTTCTTTGACAGGCAAGGTGAAAGGGTTTCTCCTCTGATGTTAGTGAGGTCATTAGTTTAGCCAGTTCGTTTGCTAGCTAGCATGATGGAATTAGGATCTAACCTTGTTGATTAGTTTGTTAGTTAGTCACAATCTAACTTTGGGGGAGAGATAGCGGTCATTTAAAAAAAAATATCTTCAAGTCAGCCATTGTTCAAACCAGGTACACAAACAAAACATTTAAATCTCCACTGGAACTTAAGTAAAAATGTAAAGTCCAAGTTACTAACCCTAAGGTGACGTCAAAGCAATCTCTTATCGTGCACGTGGTTTTGGCCGAAGCACAGCAAATTGAAAATGTTTTTCCATTGACGAGCGTCGGGTTGGTTTCCGAAACAATTGCGCAAACGAGGGAATTCCTAAATGCCGAATCACGACGTCACGAGGACTTCAAGCCGCGTGCCGCGTCCTTTCACACGCTACGGCGGCACGGGCAAAGAAAGACGTAATCTGCTGATTGAGGGCTGGACAGGCACAAAGCCTGATGACAGACCCCCCCGTGATGACCTCCGCAGTGACGGGACTCCGTTACCCCGGAGTCACCCCCCCACACGGCCCTCGTGGACACCTAAGACCCCCTGCTGGGACTCAGGGGTGAAGCGGTCGTCACCTCTCTTGAATTGAAGTGACAACATCATTCCCCGAGCGACAGCCGTGCCTAATCCGCTTTGCCGCTCTTGACACAAGCACGTCCTCGCGCGTAAACACTCGGCACAATGAGGAGGCCGGAGCAGCATTCAGCAATGATTCAGTCAAACGCAAAATCGTAAGGACAAGGTATTGTGTCCGTATTGCGGCGTATGAGATCATACCGAGGTGCCGTGTCATTCATAGAACGCATTCCAGGATCATAGAAACGTGACGTGCGACGGCTCCATCAAGTTTTTCCTCTTGTTGGGTCATAGCGCGGCCGAGACGGGGTGGAGCCATCTCACCGTTTTTTGTTTTTTTTTCCTTCTTTTTTGAGGGCGCGCTACTGCTCTGCTCAGCACTCGCAGGCTTAATAATATTTACACACATTTTCCACGCGGCCGTCCAAGAGAGCGCGAAGGGACGATGGTGACGACGACGACGCTGAGCAGCTTGCTCCTGCAATATTTCTCAAATTATTTATTACTTTATTATTTATTGTCAATCATTTATTTTGATTTTTTTTTTTTTGCGCTGATAAAATATTGACTGATGTCCTGTAAAAAGTAAAACACAAAAATATTGATGAAATAAATGTTTGAATTCAGTCATTTGTTCAAGAATGACACAAATGCGAAATGAAGCACATTTGGAAGTACTTTTAACATAATAAAAAAAAAATTCTTTCAACATTACGAGACCAGTGGTCAATTCAGTATTTAATTATTGACTGTTCAATGTCATATTACAAAAAAATTAATTCCACCGGGAAAAGAGGTATGCATTGCCTTATCATTAAAAGAATGTTTGTTTTCATTCATCAGTAGAATCAATAGTTTTACATTTTACTTGATTAAACCATTTACTTATAATGAATGTGATCACATCAAATTATTTTTTACATAATTTCCAGCATTGAGAAATTAGCATGCATTATTATTTTATGATCAAAATTTTAAAAAATGGACCTACAATACAAAAATAATAGTCATAAAGCATTCTACAGATTTTTATGGTTGAAACTCCATCCATCCATCCATTTTCTGAACCGCTGAGCCTGTCCCAGTCGTCATCGGGCAGCAGTCTGAGGTCGGCATCGAACCGCCGACCGGCGCTCTGTGAGGCGGACGTGCTCACCGGTCACCACCGTGCCGCCGCTTATTGAAAATATTTGACCTAGTTTCGATTTTGCTGGCTTATCTGTTGGTTTTCAGAGCTCAACTTTGGCCCTTGAGCACAAAAATGTCCACGTCCCCACACCGGGTCAAACGCTCGCGAAAGCGACAACGTCGCCGTCGCTGGCCTCTCCCTCTGGATTTGACCTGTCATGCACCTGCACGGTGGGGGGTCTCGGGGCCGCGTTGGCGGCTTTGGCGCCACACCTGCTTTGCGTTAGCCGCGCGCGCTAGCTGGCACGGCTCAGGCAGGCAGGCCTCGCAAAGAAAAACACCGGAGAGATTTGAAACGCCGCAAGACGTTATTCAAGCCCACACCGAGGCGTCTTCGCCACCGTCGGCTTTGCTTCGCACGCCATTTTGCGCACACGTGCGGCCTGGAAAAGACACGCACGCGCCTACATGAACAGCTTTGGCTCCTGAAAGATATCCCAAAATGCTAAAGTGTCTCAGCAATCCCAAATTGTTGAAATGTTCTTCTTCCGAATGTGCGGCGCTCACAGTCCGGACTTTGAACCCCCCCCCATTAAAAGAATGTTTGTTTTCATTCATCAGTAGAATCAATAGTTTTACATTTTACTTGATTAAACCATTTACTTATAATGAATGTGATCACATCAAATTATTTTTTACATAATTTCCAGCATTGAGAAATTAGCATGCATTATTATTTTATGATCAAAATTTTAAAAAATGGACCTACAATACAAAAATAATAGTCATAAAGCATTCTACAGATTTTTATGGTTGAAACTCCATCCATCCATCCATTTTCTGAACCGCTGAGCCTGTCCCAGTCGTCATCGGGCAGCAGTCTGAGGTCGGCATCGAACCGCCGACCGGCGCTCTGTGAGGCGGACGTGCTCACCGGTCACCACCGTGCCGCCGCTTATTGAAAATATTTGACCTAGTTTCGATTTTGCTGGCTTATCTGTTGGTTTTCAGAGCTCAACTTTGGCCCTTGAGCACAAAAATGTCCACGTCCCCACACCGGGTCAAACGCTCGCGAAAGCGACAACGTCGCCGTCGCTGGCCTCTCCCTCTGGATTTGACCTGTCATGCACCTGCACGGTGGGGGGTCTCGGGGCCGCGTTGGCGGCTTTGGCGCCACACCTGCTTTGCGTTAGCCGCGCGCGCTAGCTGGCACGGCTCAGGCAGGCAGGCCTCGCAAAGAAAAACACCGGAGAGATTTGAAACGCCGCAAGACGTTATTCAAGCCCACACCGAGGCGTCTTCGCCACCGTCGGCTTTGCTTCGCACGCCATTTTGCGCACACGTGCGGCCTGGAAAAGACACGCACGCGCCTACATGAACAGCTTTGGCTCCTGAAAGATATCCCAAAATGCTAAAGTGTCTCAGCAATCCCAAATTGTTGAAATGTTCTTCTTCCGAATGTGCGGCGCTCACAGTCCGGACTTTGAACCCCCCCCACTCTCGCTTTCTTGTTTGTTTGCGAAGCTGCGGCACCAGCAGTGGACTTTGGTGATGGAGAGCGCCGTGCCGTCGGATCGCGGCAACTACACGTGCGTGGTGCACAACAAGTACGGCACCATCACGCACACCTACCAGCTGGATGTGCTCGGTACGTCACCGATCTGTCAAAATATATTCCGGGAAGAAAGAATACACCAAAAAAAAAAAAAACGTCTGACGCCAATGGTCCATTTTAGAGCGCTCCCCGCACAGGCCCATCCTGCAGGCAGGCCTGCCGGCCAACCAGTCGGTGGTGGTGGGCAGCGACGTGGAGTTCCACTGCAAAGTCTACAGCGACGCCCAGCCGCACATCCAGTGGCTCAAGCACATCGAGGTCAACGGCAGCCGCTTCGACCCCGACGGCGGACCCTACGTCAAAATCCTCAAGGTAAGCAAGCGCCACTGCGGCCCATCTCGTCGCTTCATGTCGCCTCCTCCTCCGCTCGGCAAACTTTGCTGACGTCAACACGAATACTTTGCAGATTAGAGTTGGCTGATTGTTTTTTCCGTTATAATTTATTGTGATTTTTTGTTTTTTTTGTGGGTCGACAAATGATAAACATGTCTACCAAATTTCAACCTGCTCTGGGGGCTCATATTTTATATTTTGTGATATGAAAGCAGAATGTCTGCCTTAAACCAAAACGGTCGACTTCCTGTGTTGTGTCTTTTCGAACATCTTGAGACTTTTTTGTGGGTCTGCTCGGAATAGACATGCTGCGAACACCAACTGGCTCTCGGATAAAAAATATATATATATTCAAGAGGCCAAAAAACGGCTGCTTCAGTTAAAGCTTCTTAAGGCTTTTTTTGTAGGTCCACTGACCCGCTTCCTAAATTTCGTGTGCTGAAGTGACACCGGGTTTTAGGGCTGGATTTTTTTGTCAATTTCTACAAGGTGCTACAAAGGCAAAATGGCTGCTTCAAAGCGAAACGGCAGGCTTCCTGTGTCTTTTCGGGCATGACTTGTTGAGATGTTTTGTAGGTCCGCTCATGACGGATATGCCTACCAAATTTCATGTTGCCAGAACAACAGCAGGTTTTGGGGGCGGAATTTTTGGGTGAATTTATATAAGGTGCTCTTGATGCAAAATGACAGTTTCAAACCAGAATGGCCATCTTCCTTTGTTTTTTTTTTTTTTTTTTTTTCAGCTACGGCTTCTTTGAGGCTTTGCTTGTACGTCGAGTCAAGATAGACATACTTCTCAAATTTCATGCGGTGAAGTGAAACTTGCTTTGAGGACTGGATTTTTTTTTTTTTTTGGGGTCACTTTCTCTGGGACGCTAAGAGGCAAAAAACCTTTTGGGCATGACTTGAAACATTTTTATGCACGTCTGATAATGATAGACGTGGCTACCAAAATTCATGTTGCCAAAGCAAACTGGTTTTGGGGGCTGATTTTATTTCGGTGAAATTATACAGGCTGTTTATTGGGGCAAAATGGCAGCTTCGAACCAGAATAGCCGTCTTCTTATGTCTATTCACTTTGAGCTTCTTGAGGCATTTATGTGCGTCTGCCCGTGATGAACGTGGCTACCAAATTTCACGTGGCTAAGGCGAACTGGCTGCGGGGGCTGAATTTTCAAAAAAAAAACAAACTGCCCGCTGTCAATCTGAAAGCGCTCAGTCCAGTCTTGTTTACGTTGCACTGGTGGCCGCTTTGACTTTTCGGAGGTTTTGCCGAGAATAGTCACACAGGACAACACCCTAAAACCCTTCTGGGGGGCGTTTTTTTTTTTTTTTTTTTTGCAAAGACTCCCACACTTTCTCGTTCCGCCTCCTCCGCTTTTCTTTTTTCAAGGTGGCCGCCGAGTGAGCGAGCGAATTAAACAAACATCTGGTTTAGACTAAGTTAACTGCTGCGGTGGCGGCAACGCAGGCGGAGAGGCGGTCTCTGCTAACCGCCACTGCCGTCAGATGTCCTGCGTCGCGTGGGTTTTTTTTTTTTTTTTTTTTTTTTTTTTCGGCAGCAGTAAGCAGGAGGAGGAGGAGGCAACCCCAAAAAAAGCCTTGGAAAAAATGAGCGGAGTGAGGAAGGGCAGAGTCAGCACAGACCAAAGTGTGACAGAGGAGGAGGATGGAGACCAAAAACAACCAGAGAGGACTTTGTTTTTCCAAAGATTTACGTGGCTTTCATCTCAGCGTGCTAATGAACCAACAAGGGAATAAATCACAAGTCGTTTGTACCGCAAATGTTTGGGCAAATACGAATGGACGAAAGACTCATTTCAGCCTGACATGAGATCTGCTGTCCTTGCATAATTGGGTGCTTCAGACGCAAATGGCAGACTTGACTGCATCTTTTCAAGCATGGCTTCTTGAGCCTTTTTTTGTGGGTCTCTTCGTGACGGACAGGCCTGCCAGGTTTCATGTTGCTAAGTCAAACTTGTAATTGTAAAAAGTGCAAAAATGCTGCTTCCAAGCGAAATGGCGGACTCTGTGTGCCGTCGATGGCATGGCTTTTTGAGAGTTTTTGGTTTTTTTTTTTTGGTGGGTCCGCACATGATCAACATTGCTACCAAGTTTCTTGGTGCTAGGTTAAACTAGCTTCAAGTGCTGATTTATGATTTTTTTTTTTAAGAGGGTACTACTGAGCCAAAATGGCTCCTTCAAACCCAAGTGGCAAACTTTACATGCATGACTGCTTCAGACTTTTTTGGGATGTTTGCTTGTGCCAGACATGTCTACCAAATTTCGTGTTGCGCAGTCGAACTGACTTCACACGGGTCGTACGGAATACACTTTTCTTATTTTCAGAATATCGCCGTTTCTGGTGACAGCAAAATATTGTTTTTCATTTACATTCGCAGGCACGTCGAAGGAACTCCCCAAATTCTGTTTCCATTTTTTTTTTTTTCCCCTAATTTTTTTCAATCTTGGTGGCACCCCAAGGTGGCACTTCCCAAGTTAGTCTAGCTTGGCTTGCGGGCGTGTTCGGCTGCGTTCCTTTTCAATTCACACAGCTGTCCACATGCGCTGCAGCTGGGTCATCTGCCGCCGTATCACGAGAGCTCGCAAAAGGAAGAAAAGATGGCGAGGACGAGAAAGGCAGGCAGGCGGGCAGGCCTGTCAGCCCAAAACCGCGGCTCGGCGCTCTATTTTGGACCGCCGCGTAATTGAAACAGTATTTGCCCAGTACTGTGCGTCCACGTGTGTGTATTTGTGTGTGTGTGTGTGCATTCATTGAGCCATCATATCGTGTGTGGCGTGTAGCGTATAGTTAAGTGGGCGGCGGGTGAAAAGGGGAGGAGGCGGAGGCTCCGTGAATCCTTTGAAGTCTGGCGGAAAAAAAAAAAAAATCAAATCAAAGAGCAAATCGAGCAAGCGACGCGCCCAACAGCATTAAACACACACAATGTTGACTCCACTCACTGCTCATCTGTCAAGATTCATTCTCGTCGATTCGTATCGCAATGTGTCTTGTTTTTTTTTTTTTTTTTTTTTTTTTTGTCAAGTCTTTGTTGTTGGTTTTACTGTTCCATAAGCGTGCGCTTCACCGTAACGTTCGGTACGCCCGCATCATCAAACTGGGCTCACCTCCCCAAATTTGCATTTGCAAATAGAATTCTCGCTCGACGGCATTTGATAAAAGTGTCTCGAATTCCATTCCAGTTGCCTTCGAAAACGTTCATCGGTGGTCTTCCGAATTGTTCCGTGGGATGGACGCCGACGCCCTGCTCCTCTTCCCCGCGTGCGGGTGTACCGAACGAAGCGTCCAAATCATTGCGCTGATGCTTCCCCGATGATTTGACGCGCCCGTTTTCCCCGCGTCGGACACGTGGCGCTCATTAGCGTCGTAGCGCGGCCTGTGTGCTTGAACGTGTGTTCCCCCCCCCTCATTGTTTGCAGAGCGTAGTGAGCTGGCGCGCCGAGGCCCGGCACACGCTCAAACTGTCCAACGTGACAGAGCGAGACGCCGGCAAGTACTGGTGCCGCGCCACTAACTTTGTAGGCAGGTCGCAAAACGCCTTCTGGCTCAAAATCCGGCGAACAGGTAACGGCAAAAAAAAAAATCTTCCGCCGGCATCTGGGTGTCTTCTGCTTTTTTGTCTCTTGGGGGCGCTCGCTGTGGTTTCATCTGCCCGCCGCCGCTGCTGCTGCTGAGGTGGCTTCAGCCATCGCGGCCGCAAAGATCACACTTTTTTTATTTATTTCTTTATTTTTTTTTACTTTTCGGCTATGTTAAATCGAGCCCATGTAGGTGCACAATCATTGAAAGAAAGAGCCGAGTGGCTGGATTTTAGGGGTGACCTGTGGCCCTGAATTCGCCAAAGTCCACCGCTGCCCTTGGAAGAAAAAAAAAACAAAAAAAAAAAACATCCTCAGTTTCATTGAGGTAGTCTTGAAATAGTTTTTGATTTGATCCAAGTGATCATTAAAAAGGCTTGAAACGTTGAGAATTTGCATCGGCCCTCCGAGGGAAGCCGTAACTTTGAAGTGGCCCGTGACAAAAAATGGGTTTGGCACCCTGGTTTATGCGTACGCTGATCATATCGAGTACACGTTACCCCAGAAGTGCTTCGAACTGACATTTTGATTTTTTTTTTTTTCCCTCCCCCATTGTTGAACGATTGTGTGTCGTGGTGGTGACGCTTCTGCTTTGGGTGTCTTCTCGTGCGCCATCTTGGCATTTTTCTTGGTTGTACTTCAAGGTGTTTGGTGGTCTCTTGACAGTGGTGCCCCCCTTTCTACCTTCCTTCCTTCCTTCCTTCCTTCCTTCCTTCCTTCCTTCCTTCCTTCCTTCCTTTCTTCCTTCCTTCAGACGGCGGGTATTAACACCACGGACAACGAACTGGAGGTGCTCCTGGTGTCCAACGTGTCTTTCGAGGACGCCGGCGAGTACACTTGCCTGGCGGGGAACTCTATCGGCTTTTCTCACCACACTGCTTGGCTCACGGTGCTTCCAGGTACACCCACCGCTAACCGCCGACCACCGCGCCGCCGCTCTAACTCCGTCTGCTGTCGAACCAGGACAGTCTGCGATATTCGTTTGAGCCGCTGAGGACCACAGCGGGCTAATGTTAGAAAACAAACCCGCAGAACCTTCATTGCTTCTGTTGGCATAAAAATCAGGATCGAAGAGCATTTGGCTGGGCTGAAATGCTTCCTCCTTTGGTTTGTCTTCTTTTCAATTTGCAGTGTCAAACAAATAACGAGCCACCAAAACAGCAGGAAAGCAAACCCGGAATGGGCAATCGAGTGGCTTGACTGTTTTCATCTGAACGACGGGCCTTTTCTCTGCGCCTAACTTAACAATGGCAAACATGGAGTTAGCCCGTTCTAGTTCTCAGCGACTCATTTCTAATGACAACCCAAAATGTTTTTTTCATGTTTGGACCCTTTTCATTGAAACCACCACGTGAAGGCTGCTTACGTTCACGTGAGCAGCGCGAGCACTACAGCGCTAGCGCCGGTGGCTACAAGGTGTTACATGTCACATTAGCTTGACCGTGTCGCGCTTAGATCCCGATGAGAACATAACTCGAAAGAATAGACCGTTGGCTTGATTGTTTGCGGTTCACATGTAAGCAGTTTCATCCAGGTAGCCCGAAAAATGTGGATTTCATCCGAGTGTCCTTTAAAAAGGCATCGTGGCTTAAATTTGATCCAAGTGACCATAAAAGGTCAGAAAAAAAGGCTTACATTAAAACAAAATGGTCCTAAGAGGAGTCTGAAATTTGATTTTTAAAAATGTTTTTATTATTGGACCTTGAAATGGTAGAAAGGGTCTCACACTTTTTCCAAGTGGCCTTAAAAAGTCTTCAAATGAATCCAAACGGTCTTGAACAAGTGTTAGCGAAACCACTTTTCAATGTTCTCGGTGTGCCTTAGAAAATGTGACTTTTTTTTTTTGTTGTTCTCTGTATTTATTTATTTTGATGAGGACGATGTTGTCGCGTTGCAACCGAGTAATTGGCTCCCTGGAGAGAAACTTGCAATGACCTGCAAACCAACTCACAACAACAGGACTGGGCAGCATGGAAAGAACATGACAATTCTTTTTTTTTTTCCTCTCTCTCTCTTTTTCTGTTCATTTTTAACGTGAAATGATACAAATATGAGTCTTGGCCTTAAAAATGGTTCATCATTTTTATTTTGTGTTTTGTTTTGTGGCGCGCTTAATTCCATCGGTGGCCCGGCACGTGCCCGTTGTTGACCCCAAAGCAGCGAGCCCGGAGAAGGAGGACTACTACGCCGACATCCTGATCTACGTGACGGGCTGCGTTCTCTTCATCCTGGCCGTGGTCATCGTGGTCCTGTGCCGCATGCGCATGAGCGCGCAGAAAACGCTGCCCGAGCCGCCCGTGCAGAAACTCTCCAAGTTCCCCCTCAAGAGACAGGTAACAGAAAGTAGATACGAGATTTGAACCCGCACTCCCCCCTCCCCTCTGCCCGACCCTTGTCAGAATCGCTCGCCATCGTCAAATACGCTCTCCTATCACACTGCCGGTCATGGAAGCTTGACCCGTCGCGCAAATGAATTGTGTTGAATTCATTTGTTGTTGAGTTTGTTCACCCGCTCGGTGGCCGAGGCGCTCGGTCAGTCAATCGCTTTGCCAGGCAGACGCTCGGTCTGTTAGCTATTCGGTGACCCGGTTAGCTCATCGAAGAATTAACATTGAATGGTACCCATTTCCACTCTGCATCTGACAAATCGGGGTCCAACTGCGACTCTTCGCCGCCGGAAATCTCTTGGCGATGGCGCGTCTCAAGGCACTTCTTGAGCCTTTTCAGCGCTAAAAGTCAGTTTTTCTCTTGCTAAGTTAGTGAGTCACTCCATCCGTTTGTCACTAACTGGGTCGGTCATTTGCTAGTCAGTAAGTTGAACCAACAACACGAGTCCGTCCGCTTGCTGTTCAATAAGTTGGTCGTCAGTGAAGATCGTCGGTTTGATCGTCGGACGTAACGTTGGGACGTAACGTTCGTCTGTTCATTAGCCAGTCTGTTATTTTGTCTTGCTGTGGCTTTGCGAGTGAGTTTGTCGATGAGGTCAAGGAGTCAATGACTTTGTTCGAACCTCATGGAATCACGTGAACACTTTGAGTGCTTTTTTTGGGGGGGGGGGGGTGTTTGGAATCTCCGAGTGAGACATTTCAAGTTGATTTTCCGCCAGCGCTTCCCGGTTGCGGCCGCGACATTCTAAGTGGTCCGGCTGCTCTCTTATAAGGCAAAGATTTTATTGCATTCTTGTGTAATCTTTGCTCGCTTTTCGGCCCCGCTAATCTCCCGCTCGATTCTCTCCTTCTGTTTTTTTTCATAAGCGACTCAATCTCCCGCAAAGCTCCTGGCATTTTCCAGCACATATTACTTTTCAGGCCAAGCAAATTTGGACCTGGACGTTTTTTTGGTCTGCGGCAACATCTTTCTCGACTTTTGCTTCAGATGAGAATTAGTTTGGCGACGCAAAAGCTCGATGGAGCCACCAGGAAGCGGAGCTTTGGAAATGGGGCAAGAGTGACAGAAAGGCGAGAGCGCGAGCGCTTCCTTTTCCGCCCGTCTTACTTGTCGCCGCCATTTGTTGTTTCCCGCTTCCATCTGTACAGGTCGTCGTCGCCCGCCGGGTTCCAATCCAATTCCCAAATGGTTTGACGTGACGGAGGACCAAACACGTCTGCCGCTAAGTTGTAACCAAAGGCGTGTCTTTCTCTCGCTCACTTAGCTCAGCGGTCACTTGATCATTGCCGCGGTTGTTTCATTTTTCAGTCGCTTCGGTCCGTTTGGTCTCATTTTTATTCAAAGGTCAGTCTGTTGCTTCTGCCTCGAAGGTCGCTCGAAACATGGATGAAACCTTCAGCGAAAAACCGCCGTTGCCGAGTTGTCATTCGGCCCCGCGGGGTCTTGGGCCGGCGCGGCGGCCTTTCGGCGACGATAACGGTCTGGTCTGCTTTGTGTTGGGCACTCAAGCAGGTGTCCTTGGATTCCAACTCGTCCATGAACTCCAACACGCCGCTGGTGAGGATCGCCCGGCTGTCGTCCGGCGACGGGCCGATGCTGGCCAACGTGTCGGAGCTGGAGCTGCCCGCCGACCCCAAGTGGGAGTTTTCCAGAGCGCGGTGCGGACCGGCGCGAACGGCCTTTTTTGCTTGTCGCCGCACGCTAGCCTTCGGGCCGCTGAAAGTCGTTCCCTTGCCGCTTTTCCAGGCTGACCCTGGGGAAGCCTCTGGGCGAGGGCTGCTTCGGCCAGGTGGTGATGGCCGAGGCCATCGGCGTCGACAAGGAGAAGCCCAACAAGCCGCTGACGGTCGCCGCCAAAATGCTGAAAGGTGAGCCGTCACCTCGCCGCGACGGGGCCGCTTTGCGCTTCACCCCTCCGACGCCTCCCCTTCCTCCACCTCTCGCCTCAGATGACGCCACGGACAAAGATTTGTCCGACCTCGTGTCCGAGATGGAGATGATGAAGATGATCGGAAAGCACAAAAACATCATCAACCTGCTGGGAGCCTGCACGCAGGACGGTGAGGCCCCCGTCGCCGATGTCCTCGAGCGCGCTCATTAGCCGGAAGTGACCGCGCGCTGCCGCAGGTCCGCTCTACGTTCTGGTGGAGTACGCCTCCAAAGGCAACCTGAGGGAGTACCTGAGGGCGCGTCGGCCGCCCGGCATGGACTACTCCTTCGACACCTGCAAAATCCCCGACGAGCAGCTGACTTTCAAAGACTTGGTGTCCTGCGCCTACCAGGTGGCCCGAGGCATGGAGTACCTCGCCTCGCAGAAGGTCAGGGCCGCGTGGATTCGCGACGCGCTTCGACTGCGAGCACGAGTACCAACGGGTAGCCAGAAAATAGTCAAACGTACACGACAGTTAGTGCGCGTTCCGCACGGCGCGTCACTAGGGCCCGTGCCTTTTTCATTCTAAAATAGGCCGCAAAGACGACAAAAGTCATGATACCGAAAAAAAAAAAAAATTGTCATGTCCTTCGAAAGGTCATGTTTTGAGAAGTCATGTTACGATTTTAAAAAGTTGTAATCTGAGAAGAAAATGTTCTAAAGGCTAATCACCTCGAGTATGTGAACAAAACTTATGGTTCAAGAAAAAGTTGCAATCACGTGAGCTACAGCTGCCCACCAAACCAAAAAAAAAAAAATCAACTGTATGAAATGGGAGTTCCTCAAGGCACGATGGTCAGGCCCATGCTTTTTAGATTCCTCATTTAAATAAGCAGAGAAGCTGAGGGGGGAAAAAATAACGCTAGTCAAAATGGCCAAAGTGACAAGAAAAGAATCTCAAAGTGAAAAGTCAGTCTCGTCACTGTCCTGTGAAAAAGATGCGTGCCTATTTTGTCATTTTTGACTTGAATGGTAAATTGTAATGTTATGAGCAAAGACATTTTGGGCTGAGAAAAGCTGCTGAAATATGAGTTGGCCGTCGCCGGACTGCCGCATCTTGTGCCTTCCTTCCCGTTGCAGTGCATCCATCGAGACTTGGCGGCCAGGAACGTCCTGGTGACGGAGGACAACGTCATGAAGATCGCCGACTTCGGGCTGGCCAGAGACGTGCACAATCTCGACTACTACAAAAAGACCACCAATGTGAGTGCGCTTGTCTTCTATTTCACACCATGAGAGCCCAGACACACTAAAGCTCAGGGAAAATCTCATCTTGATAAGAAACAAGTTGTAAGGGTTGTAAGGGTTGTAACACAAAGTTACGACGCCGAAAAGTTGGACGCGAAAGAAGAAAAAAGACATTTTATGAGAAAGTCGCGACGTCCGAAAAAACTTACAGGGGAGAGGGAAAAAAATAACACGTTTCCGAATGTTTCGGGATTCTACACACGTGGCTTGTTTTTGCGATTGTTTTTCTTGTGTTGACTTTTGGTGTTTTTGTGGTGTTCCTCAGGGTCGTCTCCCCGTCAAGTGGATGGCACCGGAGGCTCTCTTCGACCGGGTCTACACTCACCAGAGCGACGTGTGAGTTTGCCTTCCCGCCCGCCGGCATCGAGCGCGACGCGACGGCGATCCGGCCCTCGTTGAAACATCCCCCCGCCGCCTCGGCGCGTTAGCCTCGGGGGCTCAGCGGCCCCGCGCGAATCGGACAACTCGCCGACGAGAATCCCGAGCTCCTCCCGTTTCGGCGGCGGCGGCGCATTCCTGAGCGCGTTTGTTCTGCCTGTTCCGTAATCTCCCGACACGACATCAGAGGGAGCCGAACGCCGCGCTCCCTCGCCAGTCTTAGCCGTGTTTTAACTGCGGAAATCCACCGAGCGAGAGATAAGAGGGCGGGAGCGCTCATTCCGCACACAACTTTCCCCCCGGGGGTCTTTTCCCACCAGGGGCTCCTCTTAAGCACCTCGCACAGGTCAGGGGTCACAAAGGCACACGCTGGTTCGGGGGGGGGGGGGCTAAAGGAAACTCCCTCGCCAGTCTTAGCCGTGTTTTAACTGCGGAAATCCACCGAGCGAGAGATAAGAGGGCGGGAGCGCTCATTCCGCACACAACTTTCCCCCCGGGGGTCTTTTCCCACCAGGGGCTCCTCTTAAGCACCTCGCACAGGTCAGGGGTCACAAAGGCACACGCTGGTTCGGGGG